ATGTTATCGTACTAGTTTTATCAATAGACCGTTTATTTACATAATTGTTATGTATCCATGGTTTAATATAGGTAAACTCAATATCATGTTTAATAACGCCGGTATAATGCACCCTCATGATGATAATTGTCTTAATACTGATGAAAAAGTCTGGTAAGTATAATTTTCATGTTTTTCATTTTTTATTTTATTAAACTAATAGCATCTTCATTTAAAAGGGATCTTACTATGAATATCAATCTCAAGGGTGTTTGGTATGGCTGCAAATGGGCTATTGAAGCGATGCGAAAGAACAAAGATGCCAAAGGCGGAAGCATAATTAATACGGCCAGTTTTGTCGGATTAATGGGCGCCGCAACTCCTCAGATAGCTTGTAAGCATAAAATCGTTAACCAATAGATATTCTTTAATAAAGCTTCAAAATTTATAAATCTTAGATACTGCTTCTAAGGGTGCCGTTATTGCATTGAGGTACGACCATATTATAATTTCATAACTTTGTGATGATAAAAATTAAATTTTTTATATTATGTGTAAAAAAGTCGCGAATTAGCTGTTACTCATGCTCGAGAAAACATCCGTGTTAATTCACTATGCCCTGGACCTTTACGCACACCATTACTCATGGACTTTCTTAATACTGACGAAAAAAAAAACAGAAGACTTGTTCATGTGCCAATTGGAAGATTCGGTAATTTTACATTTTTTTTTTATTTCTTTTACGACATCAAAATCTAATAGTTTTGAAATAGGGGAACCAATCGAACAAGCTCAGGCTGCCTTATTCTTGGCATCCGATGAATCATCTTATATCACAGGAACTGAGTTAAAGGTTGATGGAGGTCTTACTGCCGCATATGTGGTTGGTATACATTATAATCACTTGTACATATGAAAATGAAGGTTTGTATTAAACCACTTTTTTGTATTTCTTAAGACCCCCGAAGAATCTTGCACAAGTGAGCCACCAAAGAATTATTTTAAACCTGCTTCGGAAAAGAAATAAGCATTTCGTGCATTATATATCAAAATTTTTATGTCATTTTAAAGATATGCTGCGAAATTGCAATTCTCAAATTAGTTCTAATGTAATAGATACATTACTTATAAAATTTCTATATTTTGGATTTCCTAAGACAAAACTGCATCGTTTTTTCTAGCTATGCTAATTGTATAACTATTTATAATGTGGGCTGCCGTCAATTTAAACCTTTAATTTTCACTGCTCATATCTCAGCTATTTTTATGTTTCAATGGTCAAAAAGAAGGCTTAGACCTTAAGCTTTCTTTTGACTATTAAAAACATAACAGCTTCGAAAATCATCGATATGAGCAGTGAAAGTTGAGACATTAATCTTTTTTAAAATATCAATCTGTCTGATTTCTATTGACGACAGCACATTGTTTATTCTACCGACCGATAAATTACGGTGAAAGAGATATAATAGGTTTTATTACAATAAATTAGTATTTATCTATAGTCCAACTTAAAGGGCAATATATGACCTTCATTATCAATTATAATTGATCTTTTTATTTGATTCTGAGTCTCAATATCTCTGTGAAATCTTTCTTTCGATACGCCAAAATTTGGTACGTCCAAATACAGTGCCTACAAAAAGTCATGGTGATTTTTAGCAATCAAATTATTAGCCATCTTTTTAAGCGAGACTAACATATTAGTTAATAAATTATAATTATGAAAATCAATCAAGAAGCTGCAAAGTGTATTCGAACTAATATTCTAATACTAATGTAACATATAAATCTACGTAAGCTTTTATTGGAATATAATATCTTTGGTCTAGAGATGTGCCGCGTACCGCACGTACTGTACGCGAAAATTTTTGCCGATCACATACTGGCGGATTTTCCAAACTGGGCCTTTTTACTAGTTCCCAGATCTAATAAACTCAGGAATAGCGACCTTTAAATGGCACAATCAACTGATCAGTCCGTAGTTATGTTAAAATCCGGTCCGGACCAGTCCTGGTTAAGACCTTAAAAAGTCTGATCTATAACTATTTAAGAACTAATTAATAACCCCTGGTCTTCTCCTAGCAAGAGCAATAGTAGACGAGTATTGTGTTTTAATTATAATATGTGGTTGTGTATGCCAGTTGTGGACTATCAAAAACTGAACATAATTATTCAGCCCTAGAAGTAGAATATTTA